CAGGGGGATATCCACAGCTCTGACCAATCACAGAGCGGCAGCGCAGGCTCTGGCCAATCCCAGAGGGAGAACACCACCTCTGACCAGTCAGGACCCCAGGGCAGCAGGGGGTTGCCTGTGTCAAGGAGTCTGAGTGTGAGCCAGCCAATCGGCAAGTTGTGTGGTGTGGGCGGGGGCCCCCCAGTGACCGTGACCGGACCAGTGCAGCCCATTTTGGAGGAGGAGATCCGTGCCAACCGGGCCACTGTGCAGGAGATCCAGCAGATTCCACGTTTTCGCAACTACCAACAGGGGGAGCCCTCCAAGGTAGGGCTTTCTGCAACACGTTGTTCAGCTGAGCACCTGTCTGTCCGTGACACTCGACGAGCAATGCCGATTGGAGTCAGAGATGAAAAGCACTGCGCGGGGGGGGGGGCGTATTCATGATTGCGTGTGCAGAAGGCACTAACCAGCCTGTGCTGCCTGTCCCTCTCTCTCTCTCTGGCTCTGTCAGGTGCTGTTTGTGAGGAACCTCAGTCCCCGAGCTTCACTGGCCCAGCTGGTCTCGGTGTTCTCCCGGTTCCAGCCCCCCCGCGCCCCGGTTCTCCGGTACCGCCTGCTGACTGGCCGACTCAAGGGCCAGGCCTTCATCACGTTCCCTGGTGGGTCTCGCCAAGCCAAAAAACAAAGAACTAATTGAACGAAAAGCTCCATTCAAAAGATCACGTCTGGCCTGAGCGATGGTGTAAGCATGGACTGATAACCCGCAGTTCTGGGTGTTGATTTCGTGCGAAATGAAATATTTGTTTTTAAAAAGTCAGTCAAACTCGGGGCGCGCCGGCGATGGCGGGTGAGGCTGGCCCTCCAGGTCCAGCCCCTGCCTCCGGCGGCTCAGATCCGATTCTCCGTTCCAGACGCGGCGACGGCCCGGGAGGCGCTGGAGCTGGCGAACGGATTCCGGCTGCTGGACAGGCCCCTGGTGATCGAGTTCGGGAGGGAGCGAGAGGAAGAGAGGGGAGCCGGGGCCCCAGCAGAGCTCGGTGCTGGGAGCGGCTGAGAGGGGGCGGAGGAAGAGGAGGAGCAGCCTTGCCTTCGTGTCCTCCCCTGACCTCCGGGTTCGGAAGAGAGAGAGAGAGCAGGGAAGAGCCGGCGGCGCGGAATACCGGCTTGATCCCTGCCCTGGGAGGCTCCTGGGAAGCTGTAAGGGCCTTGCTCATGTCCGTCACGTGCCGAGAAAGAGCTGGCCTGAGCCGAGAGACTGGTTCTGCCATCGTCAGTCCTGGGACGGCGAGAGGGATGCCCTGACGCGCATTCCCACGGGAGAAGAAAGCTCCTGTCTGTCGGCGAGAGCTGGACCTGAACCGTTTGTGATGCCAGGAGACTTGGCGAATGTTCTGTACAAGTGCACAGAATTTTCTTTGGAGTTTCCTTGGAGTTGTAAATGACTAATATAGTGATGACCGAAATGTGTTGTACGTATGTTTTTTTTTTGTTTTAAAATTACTGTCATTTTTAATTAAAAAAAAATGGAAAGGGACTTTTGTGCTATAACTGTCGCAGCCCACCAGGGGGCAGTGCTCGTCTGAATTGATTTTTTTTTAAGTTGCAACGCAAACAGAAGAGGGCGCCAAATGCAATGCAATGGTTCCTGCGCAACCCCACGCTGTTTTCTGGGCAGTGGGATCCAGAGCACTGCCAGTATCTTGGAAAGAGGGCCAGGTGAGCTTAGCCGTTTTTGCTTAATCACTTCCCAATATGGATGATCAAGATATCATTGGCGTTTTTGCAAATAGAATATTTCTGTTTATGGTTCTCCAAACATCAACATAAATATAGCAAAAACAAACCGCTGTGTATATATCTTAAAGTTGATGTGCAAAACATGCATGAATTCTATTGCTGTTGCACAAAACCCATATTCCTGCACAGAGGTCACCTAATAGCATGAGCCCTGATATATGATTTACTTAGTGCAGTAGTGTCTTTGTGTGGTGTGCAAAGCTTAGTTTTAAACAGGTGTTCAACCCCTGTCCCTGAAGATCCACTGGCTGGTTTTATACAGAAGGTAGGTGTACTGGCTTTTGACCAGACTTTTCAAACGACTGATTCAATGAAATATTTCTCAAGCTCTAGAAAGTGCTGTTGCTCTCCAGGAACAAGGAGAGGAAGTCCTGTTTTAAAGCAGTTAGAATGATTGTACGTGCGTGCTGAAAACTGAAACATCCGTCCATCTGAGACCAGCAGAGCAGCAGAGTTAAATATACCGCATAAAAGCAGCTGAAGCTAGACACTGGAGCACCTGCTTTCAAAACAGTAGGACAAGCAGCAATCTTCAGTAGCTCTGCTTCTCTTCTTTTTTTACTGGAACAGGCGGAACACCCTTATGCCCTTATCACAGATAGATTTTTATTCACTTTAGGTTTACAAATAGATAGATTTCCCATTGCCTTGTCAGGTGATTCTTACCTGCTCTTAAGGAAATGAGACGGTACATTAACACTATTATCAGAACGCCCCCCCCCCTGCAGGGGCACTCCAGACACTGATAGGCACTGGGCCTCAGGTCCAACAGGTTGGCGGAACTGAACAAGATTAATTACAGGACAATACATCTTCTATTACATGGAGAGTTCTGGAAATGTTAATTAGAACTAAACTAGAGGATCAACGATATGAAAACAGGATACGAGGGGATTATCAGCAAGGATTTCGAAAAAGGTACGTCTTCATCAGAACAGCTAAACATGTGTCGGCCCTTTACACCCCGACCAGTCAGGACTCTCCTCGCCCCTGCCCATTTTCCTGGTCTCAGGCGCAACAGCTGCTGAATATTTTACATACTGATCGTGAGAAGAACACCAGCACCTCATATCGCCAGATGCTGGAATGCGCTCGGTAGTACTTTAACATTTCAGTCTAGGAGCCTCGTCTGGAAAGCGTGTTGAAATGCTGTATGCAGGCTGGAAGCCACAATTGTAACTAATTGTGACAGTTCTGATCACCTCTCGTTGCACCGGGGCCAAAGAAAGTTGTCTTTTTGATGTTGCCTTAGAACCCCTGGCAATTAGGGGAAGAAACCATCTCACCAGTGAAGGGTTTGAAGTTGTCAAGGCGGAAGCCTGTATATTTCTCACTCTGTATCGGAGTGAGAAATTCTCCTTCCGTTGGAACTGATCGGAGTGTCTGGGGTGTTCTCAGGGTACACTAGCAGAACAGTATATTCATGATCTAGTGTGCTGTGAAAATCGGGGCCACGGTAGATCTGGGGTGCCTTTTTTGAATGTTTTGAAAAGGACTGATTACTTCACACATCTAAACAGTCTGCAGTCACTTTTATCGTGGATCCTGTCTCTTCTCCAGCTTCAACAAGAAAAGGCAAAAGCAAGTTTGAGCTGTTTTTTCTTTGCCTCTGTGTTGTGTTTTGTTTCGCTTTTTACGTGTTTCTATATTTTTTTGGTTTCTTTGTTTTGCTAGTCTTGTCAACATTTTCCACTTTTTAAAATACTTAAAGAAATGAAGGTGTTCCATAAGTAACGCGTACTAGCAACAGTAATGGACACAGTGCACTCGATATGGTGTATTAGGATTTCACTAAAGTGTCTCATAAAATATTAATTCTTATAATTAATTGCTGGCAGTAAGCAGTCTCAGTGATGCATGTCTTTGGAAGGGGGACTAATTAATGGGTAGAAAACTGAGAACAGGTAAGAGAAAATAGCTAAAGTGAGGCCAGGTAATCAGTGGAGTATCACAGGGCTGTCTGTGAGGACCACTGGTCTTCCCAATTTATGATTCCTAATGCATGACTTCAGAATAGTTCGTAAACTGGTGGCATTTGGGTGATGACACCGAAACAGGAGGATGAGCCAACAGTGAATAGAAACCGCAGAAGAAAAAAGCTAAACATTCATAAAATGTAAGACTGGGCAAACAGGTAGCAGGGATTTAATGTGGAGGTGAGGAGCAGCAAAGGCAAACTTTATTCAAAATGGGAAAAGCTGACCTTAAATGTCCTACCTGTGAGAAAGACCTAGGTTTCCCCCTTGTTTTGTAACCCTTCTTACATCTGTGTGTGTTTTTTTTACATACCTTTTTCTCACTTTTTTGTACAATCACTTGAGATGAAAGCACTTTTACAAAAGAAAGTGCTTTAGAAAATAGGCTTATTGGATAACGGGGTGGATTTGATTTCTGACTAGGGATCCTTCTGTGTGGAGTGTGCATGTTCTCCGTGGCTTTGTGAGGATTTTCTTCAGACACTAGATTTCCAAATTTCTTCCCAAAACATGCTGGTTAGTTGATTGGTTATGGATTACATAATATAGATGTTATGTGTCTCTGCTTTTTCTCTCTGGTCCAGAGTTTCAGCTCTATGATGGGCTTGTGTTCCATTTAGGATCTAATCCCACCTTGCACCCTGTCCAAACTTGCCAGGAAAGAGCAGCTTTCTAATAATGGATGAATGCATTATTGTTCTACTGTAAGGTATAATTAGGTGGTTATGGAGTAAATATCACTGCATTATGAACGAAGAGTTATCTTCAAGGGATACTATAAGATCTCCTAGAGGGTGTTAGTTTAAACTCTCTTGACACGAGCAGTTCATTTGTGCGTTCGCCGAACAGAAAACGCTCTCATCGAACAGTAACGCCGTTCTGTGGAGCGTTACCCTTACCAACATGGCGGATAACGACTTCTAGCCGTACAACAGGGCGTTTCCCTGCAGGGTTACTTCCTGTGCAGCGCCATGCTGTACGGCACTTCATAGGTACAGGGCCTGGGGAGGGCCTGAAGGCACGAGATCACGAAATCGCGTGCCTCCGACGCGCTGCATTTACAGCTAGTCGCCGCAGGTCTCGCCGTCTGTGCGTTTGTCTCTCTCGCTCTCTGGTCTTATTTATGTTTTTCTGACAGTTCGTAAAAATGGCGAAGCTGAGCGAGCACGGGATTCGGCTGAGCTGTGTGAGTAGACCGAGCTATCCGCTGAGCTTTAAGCATGACACGGATGAAAACATAATAGCGCAGTCAATTATGAAATGCGTTGCTGATTTCTCGATGAGCATGCCTGTAACTCAACAGAAATATTAATATTTCAATGCCTTTTTCTTAATTTAGATGAGCCCTTCATACCTGCACAGCAATTCAACAAGTCACACCTGGCCTTTCAGTGCAGTTGCGGAACTTATAGGTAAGGCGAAATAAATGTTACAATTTCGATACGGTATTTGAAATATCCGTTAGTGCGATTATTTCCTTTAGCAGGTTTGTTGCAGTTGGGGTTTTTAAATACCGGCAACACCGAGCTGCGCACGAGACCTCGGAATAACACTGCGCCGACAGTTCGGGGTTTTTTTTTAACTCCCCGCTTTGATAACGACGCATTCGTGCGATCCGCGTTATTAGAGAGCTCTGTGAGGTCAGGTCTGCGGGACAGGTGCAGAGCTCGGCGCCCCGGGTTGCACGCCGGGTCGCCGTGTCTCCGTGTTTTCATTCTGTTTACAACGTGCGGACCTGCTGGAGACGCACCTGTTGCCAAGCCGCCGCCGCGCGCCTGGAGAACCGGGGAGCTCGTGTCTGCAGGGAACCACGAGCTGAGCTCACGCTCGCAGGTCGCTGATAATGCAGAACAGGCATGAGCATGTAGGTGTGATATAGAGTACTTCTGAGGGTGTGGGGTTTTATTTTAAGTTTTAGATTTCGTGTAACACGTCGTCCTTTCTCCTCTGTACCATTTACAAAACCTCGCCTGAAAAGATGAACAAAAATAAGACTTATTGAGAAGGGGGTGGGGTTGTTACCACCTCTGTGATAGACGAGGACAGAGAATGCAGAATGCATTTAAAGAACGGTCTGCTTCAGTTTTACATGACTGTTTCTCCGCAAATGTGAAGATCTGGGAGGTGTTGATGCGACTGGATTGGTGATCTATGCCCCTTGTAACATTTCCTTCATTTTTGCACGAGTAAAAATAGTATTTAAAAACTCGGAACACGTTATCATTAACGTGACGTGTTTTTTTTTTTTGGCTCCTGTGCTGCTCAGCGCTTGGTTTCCTGATCAACACCTTTGCCGAGTTCCGCATTCTGCGGGCGAATCAGCGGTCGGCCTGCTCCACTCCGCGCGCCGTCATTGGCGCTCCAGAGCCGGGTGGGGGCGAGCTGTGGCCACGCGAGCGGCCCTCCGCGCGCGCCCCAGCCGACTCGAAGCGCGCGGGGCTGCGGGGCCGAGCCGCGGTCCAGCTGCGCGAGTTTCATTTCTGGAGCTGCGGCTCGGACACGGTGCGTTTTAACACCCGAACAACTGTGCAGTCGGCGTCGGTCCAATCGCACTATACTAGGTCATCATAACAGAGCCGAGAGCTGCGGGGGTTTTCTGTTCCTCCGAGGTACATTCGAGATCTCCGATATTTTATTTTTCTTCCTTTTATTGCGCAGTAGTCTGAAGCTCACCGGATGCATCTAACTTCCCCTTTCGCTGAGAATTTGTTTGCGCCGGCCTCCCTCTCTCTCGCCGCCTTTCTGTCAGCGCTGCGGACGGCCGCTCGCCGCCCCTGTGCGCGAAGGTTTTGCGTGACGGTGACGAAGGTATTGCTCATCGTTCACCGGCCAGCTAAAGGCCACGTGAAAATGAGCAGAGAACAGGGCGGGTTTTTCTTTACAGTGACAACAAGCTTCTCTCACCCCTCAGTTATTCACACGTTGTTAGAAAACAGTCAATACACGCTGTAGATTGATACCCAATCGATTGATACGGTTGATACCCAGCTGATAGGCAGCCGAATGTAGCATTACTGTAACAAAACGTTAGCATCGTTTTGGGGTTTGATTACACGTGTGTATCGGCACGGCATGTATTTTCTTATGCATGCCTTCGCTTCTGTGTGTACATAGTCATTGTCTGCCCGAGATTCCTGTCATTACTCCGGAGCAGAGCGGAATCGCGGGATGGGGAGAGGTTGGGAGACGTTGTGTTTGCGGCACGTGATCGTGTGCGGAAGAATGTGTGTGAGCTCCGCACACCCCTGCACGACAGCCCGGAGCAGCGTGACAACACTGGAACGAAACAAATCAAGACAAAGCAGACCTTCCACTTTGTGTTTGCTTAATGCCTCGGAACAGGAATGTGTGTACCTCCTCTATTGGGGAGCTCAGAGTGAAGCAGTGCAGTGTGGGATAATGCTGAGGGGCTCTTAGGAGAGGCAGTGCAGTGTGGGATGATGCTGAGGGGCTCTGAGGAGAGGCAGTGCAGTGTGGGATGATGCTGAGG